GGGGGCATGTGATTTGCCTGGCTCCTGATTTGACACATGAGGCTGCGGCGGAAGATTCACACCTACACTGCAAAAGCCAGTGTATAATTTGCTTTCTTTGTTATACAGGGAGAGTATCAAGACGGCCCCCTATCTGTCCATCAGCTAATAGTTTCGGACATCGTACACTGTAATCATGCCCGCTCTCCCCTTGTAAGAGGCCCAGAGGTCTACTAGTGTTTCCAAGTCTTGTTTTTTTGACCTATTTAGACTGAAATACAGTGTGGCGGGGAAGCTGGATCCTACAGCTCTTCTCAGAGCTTCTAAGAGACAAACTGTCTTGGTCTAACCACCAACGTGGGCAGTGACAGCCAGAAAAGCCGTGTAGCGCAGGGCTATGGCTCACGTCCAGGACAGCAGAGGCATCCGATGGTCCCTTTGGCCACCTATGCGCCCCACACACCTCGTCAGTGTGTCTGATCCCTGCCAGGTATTCCCAGCTTCTTTGTCACACGGACAGATGACATGTGACACCAGGAGTCAGTCGGTGTTACACACCATGGCAGAAATCTAGGTCACATTCAAGTTCTGAGTTTTGTACTCTTTCAAACAACCTATTTATATTGACTTTATTAATGTAGTCTTGGAGATAATGAGGAATCCCCAATTTATTCCTGTAACGCATCATATATTTCACAATAAACACAATCACTGAAAATGAATGCTGTTCATATACTATGTATGTGCATTAAATTATACGAACTGGGGACACATTCCCATGTGTACAACCTCTGATTTCTGGTATAAAAGTTAATATATGATGCAGATTTAGACCAGGGAAGTACCATTCTGGAGCGGATGGGTCTGTAATTCGCACTGTTCCATGGCCAGCCTTCGCTGGCACTGTCATTAAGGTCCCATCACAGTATAATGCCCCCCCACCCCCGAGCTCCCTGCTGTGCAAAATTAAAAACCTCCAGATCAAAATGGATTCCTGCAGAATCAGAGCCCCGATGATTAAGATGCCCCCCCGGGGAGGGGTGACTCTCTGGAAGGTTCTAGCACCATGAAAGCAGGGCGACACGAGCACCTTCACCATGGCAACACCGAAACATCCTACGGCAACCTGTCCGCTGGCATAGCACTCATTTTAAAAGTACAATCCTGCTACATTTATGTTTTGGAAATAAAAAGCATTTGATGGTGTGAGTTAGATGCAAGCGTGGGGTCTCTTCCCAGCAGGAAGCGGGATACCTGGGGTACATAAAGACCAGCTCAGCCTCCCAGTTCAAACAAAGGACAGGTACAGTATGACACCTGCTTCTCCAGCAGATGGGTAGACTGCCCAAATCGCCACCTCCTCAGTACCTCATACCTTTGTATGACTGTCAACATCTTCACACTGTTAAACTCCACTCAGGGGAGAGTGTCCTCACTCACCATATTTAACATTCACACTGCAATTTCCTAACATTACGGGGCGACCCCGTAATCCATGCTGAGAGCGACACTGTGAGCTACTTCAGGTTTTACAAACTGCTTTAAAACTCAAAGGCTCCTGTGTTTGGCTGAATAATTCAATTCTTCTTCTACTTTGATTGGTTTGTTTCCTTGACTGAAATACTCATTCAGGTGTTTCACATTAACAGTAGTGACACATGCACGATTTTAGAAGACTGACCAATCAGCACACGGCAAGAACTCAGCGCTTAAGTGAAATCCGGGTCCTCTTAATTGAAATGGTACAAACCCTGTCGTAGCTCATAGTATCCCTCTTGACATGGATTAGGTGTTCACCCTAATTGTACTTCTTCCCGGCCAATCACGTTGCAGAATTATGCCCCATGTGACCTGAAAATTCCTAGCGGCCAAGGGATGGGGAAGTGCTTGAAAGCATCTAGATTTACCAGCCGATACAACGCTACAGATGTGAGTGCCAAAATCTGACCGCAGAACAGGCTACTTAATATGCTTTAAGTCTGTGTGGAGCTGGGGGGGGGTGTGCAGGGGAGGGGAGCAAATTGCTCAGTATAGGAATCTGCCTCATTGACTAGATCCTGTCAAAGAAATATACAGAGGAGTAAATCCCAAAATGAGATCAGGAAAAAGAAGAGGATCGACAGGTTTCCCGGGGAACATGACATCATGACAGTGACCTGATCTGTCCCCTTAGCAGAGCTTAGGATTTAAGCATGTAACTACAAACTGAACAGCTTCTTAAACAAAATGCACACTAGCTGTGAGTGGATGCCTGTATAGTGTAGAAGGCCACATATTTCCCACACACAAAATCCACTGCTTAAGGCAGTGAACACACACCCATCTGGGCACTTCTGTAGACCAGCTTGTTCTAACAACAGCCAGCGTTAATTTACTTACCGCATGGCTGTCCGTTTTTAAGGGTGACTGTAACTTATGTGTCCCCAAACTTGCTCTGTAGTCCCTTTCCTTAGTTACCACTGCCAGATAGTATCTGCCAAATGTTTGCAAAAGCATCTGGTTTTATAAATAAGGCTTGATTGATTGATTGGCTTAAGCACAGATTCCCAGGGTGGGCTAATTGCTGGTTACCCACACACACAAATGCATGCACACACACACACACACACGTACACAGATGTTTGTACATATATCTTTGTGGGGACCGTTCATTTCTATGGGCATAACCCAAATCCCAGCTATGACAACCGTAACCCCTACCCAGCCCTAACCTTAACCATAAGTAACCAAACAAAATGCACATCTTTTGGCATTTTTAGTTTTTTTGTGACAGATTTTTATTAAATTAAGTTTCCCCCACAAGTTTCTTGTGACATTGTGGCAACATTTGGCTGCCATAATGTAATCTATACATGACCCCCCCCCACACACACATACACACACACACATACACACACAGACACAGACACACAGACACACACACAGACACACACACAGACACACACACACACACACACACATACACACACAGACACACACACACACACACACACATACACACACAGACACACACACACACACACACAGGCCAAACCTCTGTGGGCTTCATCCATACCCACCATGACCACTGTTTCCCCCTCCCACCTTATAAGGGATCCCCTGAATGTTCCCAGTCCCAGGTGCAATGTATGGGCACTCCGCCCCCTCCCAGGCGTAAATCCCCC